TCATGCTGTGAGGACACAGTGCTAACCACTGCACCACCATGACACCAGCAACACAAAAACCTGTTGATGACACAGAGTTTACACTCATGCATGTTGGTCTTACCTCTGGATGCTGAGCTGCTCTCTGGTGACTTCTGCACCAGATCAGTTCTGTTCATGTGCATGAAAACTTCTCTGGTCACCTCCACAGACTGATGACCAAGTTCATCCACCATCAGATTCATTATATCTGCTCTGGTTGATGATGGACTCAGCTTCTGTGATTTGTATGACAGACTCATCCAAAGAAAAATTGACTTCAGGAATCTCTTGAACTCCTCGAGCTCAAATCATTCAAAGCTTCCAAAAGCAGTTGTTTCACAGCTGCCACCATTGCCACCTGGAAAAGTCATTTAAATTGCAGGACATTTATTTATTTATCCATTTTATCCAAATAAGCTCAGTATGATTTCTCATAATCACAAAAAAGCAGAAATCATGAGAAAAATGACTCAACATGAGAACTGATGATACTTTAGTCCTCTGACTTTCAGCCTGCTGTCTTGTACTGAATCAGAGATGTGACATGACTCACTTTGTGGATCAGTGCAGAGCGTCGTTCATCCACAGAGTGTTTCTCTGAGGAGAAAAGTGCTCAAAGTCACTCCCAAGAGACGTACTTACCAACTGACAGTTGTATAATCTTCAACATTACATTTAAAGCTCAACTATGATAGACACTGTTTGTGTTATTCAGTCTCTCAGACTGAAGGAGTCACTTTTTGTCATTTTTTTGTTCCTTGAACACTCATAAATTCTGATTTGGACAACAATCTGTCTTTTCTCTACAATATTTTTTATGAAAGACAAAAACTTTACTTATGAGACATCTTAACCACCAGAGTTCATTTAACTTATTTCCTCTTTGTTGTCTTACTTTTGGGTTCTGGGCTGCAGTCTGACGGCCTCTGAGCCAGATCAGCCCCCTTCATCTCGTTTAAACCCTCCATGGTCTCCTCCACTGACCGCTCACCGTAAGTCAGGACCATGAAAAACACCGTGTCCTGCAGGTCTGTCCTCGTGTAGATGATTCTTTGGATGTCTGACTAATGTTTGTAATGAAGTTTATGCAGGACTTCCTTGAAAACCTCAAGTTCCCAGTAACTCAGACCAGCCAGGGTTTCCAAAATCTGCTCAATAACAGACGCCAACGTTTCTACCTGAGAAAAAAAAAAGGTAAATGCGACTTTTCTCCAGGTTTTTTTTCCATCTCATCAACGTCTCATAAATGTTTAGATTACACCAGACACAGTTACAAGCAAATGATGTAAGTGATAATTACACACCTGACTAACATTTATTCCAACCTGATGAATTTAATCTTTCTGTTTATCTTTTCTACATTTGAGATTTTTAAACTGAACATGTTCAGTGAATGCTGCATCATTTAAATACAGTCATAGGTGATATTACTCACTCTCTGGCTCAGCGCAGCCCAGCATTCATCCACAAAGTTTCTCTGGGAGAAATATTACAATATCATGGTTACCATGAGAAAAGAAAGTGTAGCAGCTCCACAGCAGACTCGTCCACAGTTTAATGCTTTTCAGCACAATCTTTATTCATACTTACACTTGGTTGCTGTTACAAACACACACGGCTGCAGCTTTTCAGCCGCCACAACAACAACTCTCAGGATCAGGTACAGATTTTAAAGCCGATGCTGGCAAAGTTAGAAAGGTGCCGGCTGTGAACAACACCTCATCTATCTATTACTTCATTTGCTCTCTTTAGGCTCCACAATGATTGTCTGTCTAGCAGTGTCCAAGCGTTTTGTTTTGTTCCCCCCTTTTCATCCCACGCCCCCCCCCTGCCATGGCTCTGTGCCTCCCATAGTCAGTCTCTGGGCGGGCCCCACACTTTGGGAAGGTCTGCGATGCAGGGCTTGGATTCTGCCTCTTGGGAAAAGAAACCCGTTCCATGAAGCTCTGTTTGCACTGTTCTTGAGCCATTCTGAGGACCACATGAGGTTTGGAGGTCTGTACTGACTGACTCTGCAAGACATTGGCAGCCTCCATGCACTTTGCACCTTAGCATCCAATGACCCCGCTCTGTGAGCGCCCTACCACTTTGAGGCTGGATCGCTATTGTTCCAAATCGCTTTCACTTTTCCATAATCCCAGTAATAGCTGACTGTGGAATATTCAGTAGTGAGGAAATTTCACAAATGTACATCCTATCACAGTCCAAAGCCAGAATTCATTGAGCTCCTGAGAGCGCCCCCTTCTTTCACAAATGTTTGTAGACGCAGTTTGCATGCTTAGATCCTTGGTTTTGTACACATGTGACCATGGAAGTGTTTGGAACGGCTAAATTAGTTGGTGAGTGAATACTTTTGAGAACAAAATGTATTTTTCCAACCAAACCTTTTGTTTCTCCTTCAGTTTCAGAGTGAGTTGGCAGAAAATTAAGAAGACTGCAGCATTGAAGCACTAAAGAAGCTAACTGCACTCCATGAATGTCTGGCAAAGCAAATGAACCACCTGCTAATGAATGACACACACTTGAAATGGCTAACTGAAGCCCAGACAGGCTGGGATCCCCAGAAGGGACCAGTTACATCCAACTAACGGCAAATAACCTGCCTCCGCACAACATGGAAGCTCTTGTCAATCATCACAGCAGCTAAGATGAACAAACATATGGTTCAATACATGAGCAGGGCCCGGAAAGAAATGATCAGAAACACTGGAGGTGCAAAACACCAGATCTGGTAGATGCAACAGTCGCTCGAGACTGCAAGACCAGACTGACCAACCTGTGGACAAAGCTTGACTGAAGGACAGCACAGAGGCACCGATCATCACAGCACAGGAGCAAGTTCTCAGCAGAAAGTCCACAGAGGCTGGGGTCTATCACAGCAGACAGGACCAGCTGTGTGAAGATGCCCCAGAGACAGGACAGGGTGCAAGATGCTAGCAGGCAGGGCATACACGGAACACCATAACCAAGTGGCCGGCTTAGTGTACAGAAACATCTGCGCTGAGTATGACCTGGAAGTCCAGAGGTCACAGTTCTGCAGCAGTATATACATATGAACAGTATTAACAGAGAAATATATATATATGAAATGTACAAATATGCAAATCAGTCCATTTGTTCACTTTATTAGTTTGGTTTGCAGTTTTCTTCAGTAATATAATTCATTAATCATTTTATTTAAAGCTAACACTGATATTATGGGGCGCATAGTAGCATTGTGTGGTTTTTCTAAAAATGTTTCTGTTATATGAATTATGTTTCTCTTTCTTGGAGTTTCCTGTTTTGGGCAAAAGGTGCAGGTGAGGACTGTGAGAACAAAACGCCTGCTTAGCAGGAACAGGGGTGTTTTAGGTTTACTTATGTTATTCTGTGCTACCCTCTTGTATATTTGTAATTAGGCCAGTTTGTGGGTTAAGTTGTTTCCACTTTGTTTGTTTAAGTTTCTGGAAATGACTTTTTGTAGAGTTATATTTAGTTGACCTCTTTTCTGGGCCTGCTAATTATGTTTTTTGAATTTTGTCTTTTGAACCTTTTTGAGGGTAAAATAAAGAAAACCCTTTTTGAAGACCTTTTTTTCCTGTGTCCTCTATGCCTTGGCTGCTTGGTCCCTCACGCTGACTGAAAACACACTCTTGCCCATAATGAATGAAATGTTTCTATTTACCTGCATGGCTGCTGTAGCTATGGTCTGTACATGGAGCACAGGTTTGGTACTGCTGCCTGGAGAAAGAATAAATTGCCTTTTCAGCAGTCATTAGTATCTGAGTGGACACTTCTGAAACAGAAACTGGATGAGCATGTATCTGGAATAGAGAAGTCTGGGAACCATCTTTGACAACCACCTAAAATTCTCTGCCAACACAGAGGAGATTCTCAGAAGGTGCCACCAACGGCTACACCTCCTTAGGAAACTAAACTCCTTTGGAGTCAGCACAGCCATCATGATGACTTTCTACTATGCCTTCCTGGAAAGCATCATGACCTTCTCCATCACCTGCTGGTTTGACTCCCTCAGCCTTCAGTACAGGAACAGACTGCAGCACACGGCATCGCTGTGCTCTAAAATCATCGGCCTGCCTGCCAGAACTCTGGCACAGGTTTGCAGCCAACAGGCCCTCAGACAGGCAGCCAAAATCCTCAACGACCCCGCTCACATTCTTCACCCTGCATTTCAATGGCTCCCCTCTGGGCGACGCCTCCACTGCATTTCCTGCAGGACTGAGAGGAGGAGGAGCGCCACCTTTGTCCCCAAAGCCACTCTGCTTTTTAACTCCAGCCGATAAGAACATTTCCCACAACAGAAACATAAACTACAGTCTTCTTATTCTACTGACACTTTATTCATTTTTAGTCACTTACAGTTATTTATTCACCTTCAGTCACTTTCATTTTAAAACTGTGTAATTTTAAAACTATATTCTGTGTATTTATTATTTCACTCCTATGTCCTTATCTTCAACGTACGCTGCGCGGTTGTTTGTTAATTGCCCCTTGGGGATAAATAAAGTCTTCTGATTCTGATGAACTTGAGATCAAGCCTCTTCCTTCTTATAACACCCTTAATGACAAACCAGAGCATCAGTGTCACAGTACCTGCTGAAATCTATCAGAATTCATATGCTCCCCATAATTTATGTAAAATATTTGTGAAAACTTTTTCTCAGTCTAGAAAAATTGTGGAAAATTTGGGTGAAAATGCATTAGCCATGGCATAAGCACGTCTGACCTAAATATAGTTTTCTTCCATCACATTTTGTATCCTAGTCTGAAAAGCAGGCCCCAGAAAGTCCGCTTCTGTCCATCAGCACAAAGCTTCAACTAAATGAAAGATGAGGGCTGCTTCCTCTCAAATGGACTGTCACTAAAACAACCTGACCTCTGACCGTGTGGTAACCAAGCAGCAAGAACCCAAAAATATTTGTATTTGTAATGTACTCTGCTCTAATTATTCATTAAAACATGCTCTCCACATGAAAAACAACAACAGAGAAGGTGAGGAGTGAGTGAAACTACACAAAGTTACAGTGGATAAAAAAAGCCTCATCGGTCGATCTTTCATTTATAATTATATCCCAATAACATCAGCAATGCAAGAACACAAGAACACTCATGCTCTGACTTAACATGAACCTAAAAACCAGCAGCTCTTTATATAACTTATAAACTATTATCAATTACATTAGTTAAAAAGTGACTTAATCCTTGCTTACCTTTGAGGACTCATCTAAAATTTGTCCACCTGTAAATCATTCTTGCTGCGTGAGCAGGAGCTTGTCTGTGGTTTAATGCAACGTATTTTTTCTCAGTGTGAGAAACTAGTTCCATCTAGCTCTCTCTCTCTCTCTCTCTGATCTTTCTGGGGTTTATTTTAAGGTTTGTAAAAAAAAAAGGTGCCTGTAGCGGTGCCCCTTGGCCTCTTTTGGCACTGTTATTTAGGGCTGATCCTCAAATCTGATGTCTCCGTTTAATGAACATTTTCACTCCCCAAAACAGCAGCTGCAGAAACAGAATTTAAATAATAGGCTTTTTCATTAACTTTCAGTAAAAAGCTCCACATCACATTCTCAGATATGCATTCACAAACTAACCCGACGTATATTTCTTCTTTCTGGTTGTAACTCATTAAAGATATTGTAAATCACATGCAGTGTGTGTCTTCATTTACTAATTGTTTGTCATTGGACAGGAAGACCTGTGGTTTGCTGGAGCAGCAACGAGAAGCAGAAATGTAGCACATAATGTTTAATAACTGAGAACAGGAAACATAAGGGGACTATCCAAACCCAATGAGCTACATTTATTGGGTTAACTTTATTCGTTTAATAAATTTCATCATGTTTTTGATAGAATGCTTCACTGTAATTAAAAATAAATGCATTTTAATTCTTACACATTATAGTGTGTAAGTGTTTTGTTTTTTTCTTAAAGCAGAGCAGGTCGTTTAGTTCCACAGCCTTTCATAGAGAAGTGTCCCCCTGCTGGCCGCTGGCTGAACTGCAGCCACTTACTGCACAATAACACGAAGGCGCTGCTGGTCGTCTCTGGGTCGACAGAGGGCGCTATCGCAGGTGAATCCAGAGATATCGTAACCTTTGAGGAAGCAGAAGAAGAAGAAGAAGATCCACTGCTAACAACAAACAGGTGACCTGTCTTCTCTCTGTGCGAGGCCGTGGGTCATGCAGTGTTATAACGTGCTCTGGTGAATAAACAGGTCTGGTTTTCGTTCAGTTTTGGGGTCTAAATGTTTTAAATCAGTCTCCATTAACTCGATGTTAGTTGTAAAACAGCAGCTAGCAGTCATTCTGGCTGGTAGCCTCTCCTCCTCCGCACACTGATCTCAGCTGTTGGCTGACAGAAGACTTCGAGCTGCTCTAAACTATTAAATAACGGCTAATTTGCATTTTGTGCTCACTTGTGAGGACCTCCCGTTCTGGTTAACACCTCCAACACTGTTATAAGGATTCAGAGGCTGCAGTGGAAGTGCTAAGACCAGTGCACGCTGTCTTTGTTTAATTATGAATATATGCAGAGTTAGGAAGTTTTACAGCACTCTTTGTATTTATGCATGTATATTGTATAAAGTATGTTAGAGTTATATGAATGGCCTCATTTAGGGTGGTATCATCCAACATCCGTCAGTTTCACTGTATCATTTCTGCATATGTGGCCTTTATATTATTTCTCTGCCAGATTTAAATAGACAATCTTAATGAAATAAACTCATACAACCAATGCAATAAACGCAACACCGAGCCCTTCTTTCAGGTGAAGCTGTGATGTTATTTCCTGTTACAGCTGTTTTCAGACACAGTAAAGATCTTGTTCACAAACATTAGTGAAGTGCGGCTTTGAAACAAACTCCATGTAGACTCTCAACGTTTGTGGCAGGCTTGTGTTTGGGTAAAAACGCATCTATAACTGAGTAACTGAGTCTGAAATATGAAGCAGGATTGTGGCTCATCCAGGTAACGTCAGCGTTTATCTCGGTTGTCAGTGTTACAAAGGTGGTTCATTTGTTTCTCATGTGCATCACCATAACCTGTAGATCTGCTCCAGACAAGGTGGTGATCCAGGTGAACAAGCACCAAATCACTGAAACATGGCGTCAGCCATGTAACCCAAATCCAAATATATGCAGAAATAAAATAAAATGTGTTTTTAGTTGAATTGAACTAATTGAATTATATCATTATTAATTAAATAGTTCTTACCGATTTGAATCAATTGGCATTTTTAGGTAATTATTTAAAACTCACTTTTTCAACAACACTTTCAGCTTCTAGAGTTCTTTTGTAAAGTGTCTCTGAGTTTCTTGAAAGGTGCTTTACAAATCTAAATTATTATGACTTATTATTCTTAACAGCAGTAGCCCTCATTATTCTTCACTCTGAACCCTGGTGACAGTACACAGCCACAACATGCTCAACGTGTAACTGAATCTTTTCCTTCTGTGTCAGCAGGAGTGTGCTGGAGATGAGTTTCACTCTCCGCCTCCTGGTTTCCTGCGGCGACTGCTATCATGGACGCCTTCTGCTCATCTGGTCTCAGTCGGTCCGATCGCTGAGCTCTGGTCCTCGAATCAGCCGCAGCCTGCGGGAGAGCTACCGGCTTCTGCAGCTGCCTGACGAGGGCAGCAGCAGTCCTGTGCAGGTGAAAGAGGCCTACCTGCGTCTCGCCAAGCTCTACCACCCTGACTCAGGGGTGCCAACCGCAGACGCGGTGCTGTTTGCTCGGGTCGAGGAGGCGTACCGTGCCGTGCTGGCGCATCAGAGCAAAGTCAAGCAGCTGAGCGGAGAGAAGGAAGCTGAAGCTGAAGATGAGGATAAGTCCAGAGGTGCAGCACTCCAGCACAGACACTACCTCAGCTACGAGGGCGTGGGCACAGGCACGCCCAGCCAGCGTGAGCGTCAGTACCGTCAGATTCGTGTCGACCGGGCATCCGAGCAGGTTTTAAACTACCGACAGCAGGAGCACGAGAGGGCGGCGGCGGGCGAGGGAGCGCTGGTGGAACGAGACATGCGCCAGCGTAGCCGCAAAATCAAGATCACCCAGGCGGTGGAGCGGCTCGTGGAGGATCTGATTCAGGAGTCGATGGCCCGCGGAGACTTCAGGAACCTGAGCGGCGCCGGAAAACCCCTCAACAAGTTTGAGCACAATCCCTACGCTGACCCCATGACCCACAACCTGAACCGCATTCTCGTAGACAACGGTTACCAGCCCCCTTGGGTTGTCACGCAGCGCGACATCAGAGAGGCCACCGCTCAGATCCGAAACAGGCTGCTGGACGGGCAGGCCCGGCTCAGCGACCCCGTGACTCCCAGAGAAAGCCGGGAGTGGGAGGAGCTGTGTGCGTCAGTGGAGGAGGAGCTAGTCAAACTGAACAAGCTGGTAGACAATTATAACCTGATCGTGCCGATGCTCAGCATGCAGATGGTTCACTTCAGTTTGTCCCGAGAGATCGAGTGTGCCGTGAAAGGAGCTCGCCAACGCCGACTGCAGCAGCAAACGGAGAGAGAGAGGGAGCGCGAGAGGAGGAAGGAGGAGAAGAAACGAGCCAACGCCGCAGTGATGACGAAGAACAGAAAACATGGACTCGTGTCGTGGATGCAGAATTTGCTCCGATAAAAAAACAACAACAATTGTGTTTTTTAATTTAACCAGCACCAAAGGTCTGCCCGAAGGCACTGAAGCTACATCTGAGTTATTCAATTCTTACAGTAATTTCAGTGGTCACCAGGACATAAACACTGCATGTGTCAAATCAGCTGACTCTGCCCCAAAAAAGCATTTAAAATCTTTAATTTTCCCTGGAAGTTATGTTTCTAACATCAGCTTTGCTGTTGGATGGTTTCCCATAGATTTCTGTTCAGAGGCCTGAAGTACAAAGCATCCTCAGGTAGAACGTCACATCAGGTCGTGGTTATACTGGTTATACTGGGAAAAACAACATAAAAACCCTCATTCACTGACCAATCAGATACTTTGGTTTGAAGGATTTTAAACTGTTTCTGAATTAAAAAGTTCACCATGAGTACATTAAGTGCCCAGCTTCCTCCAGCTCAATAACAAAAAGATTAAACGGTCCGTTCTCGACTTGATGCTTTTCCCTCCTCATGGTAAGGAGGTGAAAGCATCTTCCAGTCCAAAGGTGGTGGACACCTGGTATAGCTAATAGCTAATAGATAGGTGGTATGTAAGGTGATGTAGGGAAACTTGTGGTTTCAAACTTTAATAAAGGCTCATCACTGTGGATTGTGGTCCTTGGTTTCTGTAGATGTCCAGAAGTCGGGGTATCCGTAACAAAGTGTAAGTGGTTGGATCATGTACCACACCACACCATGTCCTTGTTTGTTGCATTAAACTGCAGAGCTGATAGATTGATCCAGACTTTCATTTGTTTGTTTAGTGCTCAGCCAATCAGAGCCCAGCTCAGAGCTGCAGGTGTTTCCTGTCAGATAAAAGTTTAAAAGAAATCAGAGTGCAAAGTGTGAGTAACTGTTGGAGTTATTTCTGTGAAATCACTGAAATGCAAACTCTTGTAACTTTTGGTTAACGTGATTAAATTAAATGTGGAGAGTGTTGCAATTTAAATTATTTGAGTCATTGATCGTCTTCGTTTAGTCCGTCAGCTGCTCCTGCGTCGCAGGATTGCAGATGATGACGGGCTCCTTGCTGCCCGCTCCATCACCCGTGGCCGCCCTGCGCAGAGCCTGAGCGACGGCCCTGGATGGCGCTGTGGCCGCGTTCCAGTCGTGGGCGATGTACTGGTGGTACGGGTCGTGAGAGCTCTCCAGCTTCTTTGAGCGGATGTAGCTGAGCATGATACCGAACGTGAAGAAGCTGAACATGCCCACCAGCAGCAGGATGTACATGATTCCCTGAGACTCAGTGTGGGCCCTGCCTGCAGCCACGTGCTGCACAGCCTGCTGGGTAGTGAAGTTCTCAGCAGGCCCTGCAGGAGACAGAAAGCTCGTGCTGTTGAGGCAGTGCTGCAGGACGGAGAGAAGGAGAGACTGTAGCTCGGTACTGTTGATGTGGGACATGGCTGACCTCTGCTGGGCACTCAGCAAACTGCAACTAGGAAAAAATAAATTTATAGAGAAATGCAGTTATTTAGAAATGCGATATATGCCTCTGGTACACGACAAATGAATAATAATTTTTCATTTGTGGAGTGATTTTAAAAACTCATGTTTAAAAATTCTGAGTGAGTCGTTCAGAGGAGTCGTGATTCCCACAGCGAGGGCTGCAGTGCTCCGCACGCTGTGCAGATTTTTCAGTTTTCAAGTCTTTACAACCAATCAATATATTTCTAAAAAGCTTTTAATTTTGTAAAATTTTTCACTTGATTTTTCAGATTTTGAACAGTAGATTTATTCAAGTAAAAGTACATTTTAATATACTTTTACTTTATATAAGTATTTCCATGTTTTGCAGAGACTGTATATTACTTGCACTCCATCCATCTATTTTCTGTTGCTTCTCTGGTCGGGGTCATGCAGAGACGCTCAGGCCTTCCGCTCCCCGCCACCTTCTCCAGCTCTTCCAGAGGGACACCGCAGAGACACAACCTCTGAAGGACGTCTCTGTGGGTTGTCGTCCCAGTGGGGCCTCACATACGAGGAGCCATTCAGCTTTACTTGCTTATTATTTGGCAGATTTTAAAACATAAATCTATTATTATATGATGATGTATTATTAGGGGAAACGTTGTCAGGTATTATATAAGTGACTGAACTGATATATACAGTAATCACTAATATCATGTTTAGGATCCTCCATGAGTACTTTCATAACTTTTGTTCTATTCTTCAACTACGATTATGATTATTACTTAAATAAAGTGATTAAATATTTCTGTCATCACATTTACAAACAGCTGTTCACCTAAAAACAAACTTCAGCTCTTCCATGAAAGTAAAACTTGTCCCAATGTTTTCTGCACGACGCTCCAATCTTTCAGCCCCTCAGCTTAGTTCTTGTTCCCTTGTGCAGCAGCCCAATAAAAACACTCATTTCAATGTGACTTTATGCAGTATGAAGAAATATGTTGTGAAAAGATTTAAATACTTAATGGCTCATTTACATATTTAATCATCAGAAGAAAATTTGTGATAAAAAAAAACTGATCATCTTAACCTGAGAGGTCTAGTTCCAGTTTTCAGCCCGTTCACCTGAGATTTAAAATAAAATACAAGGGAGGCAAGTGGGAGGTGTAATCAGGTGTAATCTGAGAGGCAGCTCACATTTTTCAAATCAATATCAGGGTTCTCACATTCTCGGGGATGATGATCGAGTTTGTCTTATCGTTACTGATGTTTACAGATTTCGTTGTGCACACACATCCTGACTGAATCTTCATGCATTAGAGAGAAAAACTTACCTGTGAAGGACTCACATCAACCCGTACGTCTCCAGCGAGGAAAGAAGCAGCTAGTCGCTGAACCCTGAGTATTAATGCTCAGTCCTCACTCATAAACATGCTCAACATGTCAACACGTTTAATGAAACCAGGAGGTCACAGGGCAAGGTCAAAGGCAGCAGGGGTGTCCTAATTTCACTCCCCTGTGCTGGTCCAAGCAGCAGCTTTGCAGGAAGATTATTATCTTTACATCAGGCCTTGTTTAGGCAGCGTTACCCAGTACAATGTCACTACTTTCATTATGTATCATGAGTCTGACTGCATGTCAGATATGAACATTTCAGTGCTGCTCATAGGATTGCCATCCATGCTCCTCTGAGCATCCGGACAGCAGCTTGTCAGATGTGTATGTGCTCGGCCGGGTTGTGTTGCAGAGGGAGTGTGTGTCGCTGCAGGGACGGCGCCGGGCTGCGAGCAGGAAGAACAAAGCTGCTTTCAGACCAGAGGCAGTTTGGATCGTCTGCAGCACGGCTCAGACTAGATTGAGTTACAGCACAGTCACCTCCAAATGTCCTCTCACCACTGTGTGTGTGTGGACGGGTTTTAACGTCTTCATGGGGACCAAAGATGGATAGTTTACTATACTGTGGGGACAAACAGCCATCGTGGGGACCAAAACCCCAGTCCCCTCGAGTTTGAAGGCATTTTTAGACTCAAAATGTGGTTTTAGTGTCAGGATTACAATTAGGTTATGGTCAGGTTTAGGGTCAGGGTTACAATTAAATAAAATAAATACACACACACACGTGTGTGTGTGTGTGTGTGTTTAGAAACAGTGTAGCAAAAACAGTGGACAAATATTAACAAAAATATGATCGTACAACCTTTGTCTAATTAGACGTCACTGTGTGTGCTTTTAAACCAGAGTTAACATCGTCGGCGTTTTGCTTTTGCTGGTCTCTGCTCTCTTCCCTCCAGCCTCCACCTCCTCACTGTTCTTCGCGCTGCACGGTGTTAGCTGACTAGCTAGCATTACCCAGAATGCTGTTCTGCAGTGTAATTTTGTAAATATCCTCTTAAAATTCAATTATTTGCTTCCAATCATCAGAACTGTGAATAGGCTGAAATAAAGTTCCCCACAAGGCTCTTGGTGGGAAAATTAACAATAATTAGTGATAATAGAAAAATTAATATTATATACAAAACTATACCCATAAATAGTTGAAATAAGGAAAAAATGCTCTCGTCTCATTTTGTTCTAATGTTTCATACATTCTGACTTGAATTGCAGATGATTGGAGGTAAAGTGTGTTCTCTCCTACTCCCCACTGTGAGCCGTTACAAGATGTTCAGCTCTGAGTCAGCGGGCCTCACTTTGAGAACCTGCACTTTAAAACAACTAATGGGCCAATAACCGACAGTCTCCTTTCCAATGCTTCCTGTTTACTCCTCCAAGACTGTGAAATTATGACTGAATCAGTTACAAGACTGATTCACCTTAGCTTGTGCCAGCTTAGCATGTGACACAAGACTCGGGCCTACACCACACTGGCAGCGACGTGGTGACCAGAAAACATCAAATACATTCGGCTAGGTGATCGTCAGCTCCTCTAGCCTTCACTCATCCTTAGGCAAGACACTGAACCTTGAGTTTATCCCAAATCATTCATCAGAGTGTGTGTGAAAGTAGGCAAAGTGCCAGTCAAAGAATGAGACTTGTTTTCAGTTAAATTTATTTATACAGCGCCAAATCACAACAACAGTCGCCCCAAGGCACTTTATACTGTACGATAAAGACCAATAATCCAGGGAAAAGCCCAACAATCAAATGACCCCCTATGAGCAGCACTTTGGTGACTGTGGGAAGAAAAAACTCTTTTAACAGGAAGAAACCTCCAGCAGAACCAGGCTCAGGGAGGGGCGGGGCCATCTGTGCAAGGGGAGGACTACAGAACAAAGACACGCTTTAAGGAGGGCGAGTGACCAATGAGAGCACCAGACACTACTTGACATGTGACCTGACAGTAGATATATTAGAGGGTTACCTAGGCAACCTGGGATATGACCAGCCATCATCTTCAAAGTGATGAGTGAAAGGCTTCCAGTGTGAATGCAGTTTTATTTTAATCTTGACTTCGTCCATCTTGATGCTTTAAAAACAGAGTGAGGGATGCTTTGAGCTCAGTCACGGAGCATCACATCAGCTGATCAGCTTTATTCTGAAATAAACCAGAATTGAACTAAATGTTTCTACTGTCACAAACTCTCACAGCTGTGTGCCCAGTGCTAACAGAAAAGGAGCTGTTGTCGAATAAAATTGCTTCATCTATAGAGCCGATAGAGTGTCCGTCCACCGTCGATCACCACAGTCCCCGCATTAAGCCAGCAGTAGAGTTGGATGAGGTTTTCAAGCCTTTTATCTCTAAAGGATTTCTTTCACTGACTGGGAGGGAGGGGGACAAGGTTCCCTCACAATTTTAAGGGATACTTGTATCTGTGGCACGTTGTGTTATTATGCCTTTTTCCAACCAGTCATACTATGGTGCAGATTTGTTGGTAGGGGAATTACGATGCACATGCCGCTTCACACAGTTACCCTACTTTGCCCCTTAGTATCAGGCACAGAGCAGGTGGGGGTGAAAGATCAGCTACCAGTCGCGGGTGTTGATCTTATTCTTGGAAATGAATTCGCTGGGGGAAAGATGTTCCCTGCCACCCCTGAAGCTGCTGAAAACCCTGCTGCAGATGTTTTCGGTCATGCACCATCTGGGCCGGTGTCTCTGCAGTTTAGCATGTGTGGTTGCTCATGCACAGACCTTGGTGATGCAGTGGACATTTCCCATACATTCTTTAAAAGCCTAAAACTCCTGTCAAGCCTTTGCCTGGGAATAAGAATGAATCTGTGGCGTTCACTGGGATACCAAACAACTTGTGTCTAGCAGTAGACAAAGAGCAATTCAGTAGAGCTCAGCAGTCTGATTCTACCTTGTCTGCCTGCCTCTGTGCTGCAAGGCGGCGA